CATTCTATAGTTTGGCTAGGATATTGTTGTCCTCTTAACAATAATCAAAAATTCTCTTAATCATAATTGGATTGTCATGGACTTTTCCAAGGGTTAGGATGTCCATAGCATGTTCCTGTGCCATCACTTTTCCATATTCATGTCTGTGGGCTGTGACTCATTTAATCAGAAACCTATATGTATCAACTGGACTGAGACTATTCTCTTGAGCCTGGTCTCTTAACGCTTTGTATACAATAGAGGAAATGACTCTTTCCCATCTGAATCTACAGCTAGGAAGCAGTTTATCAGTGAGGGATAATGGGTCCTCTGTGACCCCCCTCCATGTATTCCTGGCTGTTCATCCTCTGTACTCATCAACATGTTGAGAGTTTGTGATTGCAATGGCTGTGCATTACTCAGAAGATGACATTTCCGCCAGTCGTGGATGGTGCATGCCTTTAATCCCAGCAGTTGGGAGGCAGAAGCAGGCAGAGCTATGTGAGTTTGAGACTAGCCTTGTCCACTAATTAGTTCCAGCACAGTCAGGACTGTTACACAGCGAAATCTTCTGTCAAAAAACAGCAGCAGCAGCAGCAACAACAACAACAACAACAAAAGAAGATGACTTTTCATAACCAGGTTGCCTTTTGCCTCCCTTCATCAGGAAGCTAAGGTTAAGTCACCCCTGAGAAATAAAGAAATAAAGTTGAGCTTTTATAGCTGAGATTCTATTACCTTAGCACTCTAATATTTGCAGTAGTTCCTCAGTGGCACTTTTATAATCTATTTTTCTCTGAAACCTCTGATTGATGTGCAGAAGTTCAAAGAGGTTTGGAAAAAAATTTAAATCCGTGGGGATCCCTGGTCCAGGTAAGTTGGCTGCTGTAACCTCTCTTTTGGTATGCCCATTTAAAATGAAAGATGTGTTGACTCAGGTTTTCCAATAGGAGGTTGAGGAATGAATCCTTCAGGTCCAAGAAATTGTACATCAGTTTTTCTGGAGGAATCAGACTCATGAAATTCAGAGTTCTGGTTTACTTCACATGCAAAGGAGGTGTGTTTCAGTGTGATTAGCCTGGCACCATGATTCCTATCTTTCCAAGACAGGCAGTATGGAATGCAATTTCCCTTTTTCAGCGTCATTAGTAGTTTTAAATCTTAACAGGGGTAGCTGCACTTCCTAGTTATGTAATTATAGGTTCTTAGTGTTGGGCCAGTCCTGTGGAGTCAGTTTTTGCCCAAATGCCTAATCGTCTTTGTCTTCATTTTGAGAGGTAGTTTACCTGTTTCTTTTGGAAGGAGGTAGAACTTTCAGCTAGAAGTTATTCTTCCTTCAGAGGGTAAGAAAACAAATGTTGTTGGCTATCGATTAGTTTAACTATCTCATCATCAAAGAAGGTGACAATGGCTATCTATTCTATTTACCTTCCCAAAGGAGGTCTATCACTTCCTTCTAGTTTGTTACTACTGTGTGTATTTCTTTAGACTTAGATTTGTGATCCTTGACTTCACAGTTAATATTAACATATCTGCAAATGCATATAATGTTTATCTTTCTGAGTCTGGCATACAGGTAACAGGATGAT